GTAACATTTATAAAATCTATAGTATTGTTCTTGTCTATAATATATCTAGTGTATCTAGTTTTAGAGACCAGTATCTTAGAAAATAAGGTCATTCTACTACTTTAAGGTTATCGACACATAAACTTTCAAACATGAGATTTTTATTTTAAAACTGTATGAATTGAACTTCTATGTCATACTCCTTTTGTAAACATTACAATTCAATACCCTCTGTATCCTTTGTAAAATTTTAGAAATTCCAGCAGGTAGAAAAAACACAAAAGTTTTATTGACAATGTCTGCACGTTCAAGATGTCGATAACCTTTATGTCTCTCATAGTATATATTACCTGCGTAAGCGTTAAATGTATAGGGGTGTGTGAGAAAATACCAAATACATTCAGTTAAACGTAAATAGAAAATATGGAGTATCATTCAATCAAGTATCATTTCAAAATCGATTATTATACTCCACAGTCCATTAACCTAAAAAGTCAAATTTTTATTCAATACAGCAAGCTGTATCTTCGTACATTTTTATATTCGCAAAATCTGAAACAAAGGTGTTTTCTTTTGAGACGTCGTGAAAAGCGTCAGTTTGAAAATGATCATAAATATTATGATCAGCATTATATGTTGTACTTCTAATTGGACGATAATTAGTGGAAAAGACAGGCCGTTGTTGACGGACAAAAATTGTGCGGCATTAAACGGGTTTGACACATGTAATGTGAATTTCCTGACTGATTTTTAATTATTAAAGTATAATAGGCGGCTTCAAAAAAATATTCACAGCGATCTAGTTTTCGCAGGGATACTTCATACAAAGCATTAAAATCTAATACATATGTTTAATTGACAAAATACATGGGGTGTTTTTGCAATCAAACATTGTAGATTTACAACAAAATGTACAACTTTGCCGTATATTATTAAAACACATTATTAGGTCTATATCGAAAAATTATTCTATTAGGTCCGCTTGCCATTATGCTAAATTCAGTACTGAATTTAGCACTAAAAATATTGTATCTACAAATTAGGTGCGCGCGCCGATTCAGTACTAAAAATTAGAACATGTTCTAATTTCTTGTACTAAAAATGATCCAATATTAACTAAAACTGAGGTTATGTTACGTATGTTTATGTTTTGTTTTTAAATATGTGGAGTCAAAAGCAAATAGAAAATTTAATCGAACTATATAAAGCAAATCCTTGTTTATATGTGCCAAAACATCCATTATACAAAAATAGGAATGGGAGAGTAAAAGCTTTGGAAGAAATAAAGGCGGAATTGTACAAACTCCTGTTTGTTTTGTTTACTCTAATCATAAAACTATAAAACAAACTTCAGATAGGTTAGACTGTCAATACAAAATTGGTAGAGCGCATGCCTACAGGCTAATTAAAATCAAGATAGTTGCAAACACCAACATACATTTTTCATACTAAATCGACTCGCGCAACTAACTAATATTTTTAGCACTGAAATCAGTACTGAAATTAGCATAATGGCAAGCGGACCTTAGAGATGGAAGTTTTGCGATGGGAATCTTAAAATTGTACAATTCATTCGTCTTATGAGTTATAAGCCAGCCCAGCCCATCTTTTCTGTATTGTTCATTAACAAGACAATACTAACTTAAGATAGGATAGTTTTCGTTGGAAAATGTATAGATATACAAGTTTAGAACAATATTGAAGTGCAAAATTGGTTGCCTAAACATGGTCAAATTAACTGAGAACTTTATTCGTTAAAAGATATCACGGTAATCTACTTCTTCGGGGGTGTAAACGCCAAAAATTGAGTTAGTACAGTCTTCATTGGACGTGTCGATTTTGTCGCTTATATCTGAGATTACTGTGGTTTTAATGGAATTTTTGTACGCAAGGACCGTAGATAATTAGTCCTTCAATCCATAGATGGCGTAAGTCCATTTCCGAAAAAAAACTGACATAGGGTTTTTGCAAAGAACGCTTCAATTGTTTTCGCAGGCTATTTGTCTTATCCTGTTTGATTTTTTGGCAGTTATTTCATACTGTCCCATTATTTAGTGGTCACTAATTTTTACCTAGTTTGATGATCCTTCTAACATTAATAGGTTATATGGGTTATATAAAAAACACTAATTACGTTTTGTGATATATTATCATTTAAATTGCTTGTTTAGCATTATTATCAAATGATTAAAAATAAAAATAAATTAACGGCCAACCACCTGCATTTGTTATATATTTTAATTTGTTCCAATATAATAGTTGTTAAGGCTCGTATCACTTGAATTATGTGCTGTAATAATTTTCAGTTATTTTAATTAGTTGTATACTTCTAAGTATAAGTTAGTCATGTATTCATAATGCCATAATATTGTTATTTGTTCTGTCGCTATATCATATTAGATTCATACCTCTTGTCAAGTCATGTGTTAGTTTCATATCATAAAAAGTCCGTCGAGAAATGTGTTGTGATTAATAATCGATAAGTTTTGCCACAGTTTTAATAAACATAATTTTCAATTCTATGAATCACTTCATATAAAAAAATTTCAATCTTAACTATAGTTTATTTTTATGAACGAGAGAGTAATTAGCATAATTTTAACTGGTACTTCCGGCCACTCCATGGGCGTGCTCAAGATTAATTGAAAAATTACTTTGAATAATTGTAAAAAATAAATGAATTATTTCAGTAAGTGTTATGTGTATGTAAACAAAAGTGACCTCTTTTATCACACACTATATTAGAACTGACTGGCCTACATTAAAAAGGGTTTTAAAAAATTCACATTTTTTTTAATTTTTAAAAATTACAAAAGAGAAAAAGAGTTTTTAAAACCGTCTAAGGTATGTTAAATAGATGAATAAAAATATTAATATAAAACTTACAGCTACTTGTTACAAATCCAAATCAGATTCAGAAGATGAACTTTCAGAACCAAGATTTATAATAACTGGCTCGATCATTTTATCAGTAATATTGTCCAGCTTTCACATTTTTCCCTCTTCTTTAATAGTGTGATTTACTGCCTTTTCCCAGTTTTCAGGTTTTACAATATTTACGGCCTCCAAAAACAACTCTTTAACATTATGAATTTTAAAAGTGGTATTTTTTCTTGAAACTTCACTCTTTATCTGTGCCCATACCAGTTCAATCGGGTTTAATTCACAATGATATGGTGGGGATCTAAGTACTGTCATTCCACGATTTTTGGCAATTTCATCAATTTCGTATTTTTTAAATTTTTCTTTATGAAGGGCACACAACGAATAAAGTTCCTTTCTTATAGATCCATAATAGTATCTTGTAATGTATCTGTTCTTATAGAATTCATAATGATTTTTTGAACTGAAGGTTGTGGGCAGTCCTTCTATAAGTCTGGAGTGATAACTTGCATTATCCATTACTATTACACAGTTCTTAGGAAGAAGATCTATCATTTGTTCGAACCATTCTGAAAGACATCAGCGTTCATGTCTTCATGGTAGTCACCGGTACGAGTTGATTCAAAAGTTAATAAACCACCTTCAACAAAACCGTCTGAACTGCCAATGTGTACTATTATCAGCCTGCGTCCCTTTCCTGATGGTGGGTTTAAACCAGTAGATAAGTTATTTACAAAAGCGTGCCTTGACTTGTAACAGTTTCATCCTGCCAAAATTTATTTGGTGTATGACCCTCGTTGATCCATGTTTCATCAAGATAAAATATTTTTCTTTTTGGTTTCTCATTTCCTTTATGGTTCTTAGAAAATGTCTTCTTCATATGACAATATCGCTTCTTTCTAATAGAAATAGACTTTCTGGGATTCTTTTTCCAGCGGAAGCCTATTTCTTTTAAAAGTTTCTATAACGTACTTCGACTCATTTCTGGGTAATCCTTATCATCTCGAACTGAGACAAGAACTTTATCCAATGTTGGAAATTCTTGTCTAAAGAAGAATTCATGCACTTTCCGTCGAAGTCGTTCTTTAAAATGATATTCTATTTGAAATTTTGGTTTCCCTGGAGCATTACGTGGCATTTGAAAACTACCACATTTCTCTTCTTTAATAACTCTGTAAATCGTAGATTTCCCAACACCAAGTGTACTGCTAACTAACTCAACGGTCTCATCAACACTTTCACATAAACGTTTGTCTGTAAATGATTTAAAACAATTAAATATTAATGTTTTTTCATTAACTGTTAAAGGACCAATTTTTCGGCGTTTTACACGGCACTTCCAAATTTTCCATAACACTAGTATACACAATAACCTGCATCTTGCAACTGAAGTACCTACTTTTAGTGAACTGTTAAGAATTTTGAATACGCCACTTGGACCTTCCTACAAAATAGAAAAACCCACTATCACATTTTCTGTGGAATAAGTTTAGAAGGTAATTATCTAGTCAATTACTGTCGTGGATTCCTGGAATTAAAGAATTAAATGTTTGATTGTTGAAACCCTTACTTCGTGGAATGCACTCATTTCAGATAAAATAAAACGTTTTATTTTATCTAAAGAATTAAACTTTATTTTGCATATAGGTAGGTACTTATTAAACTTTTATTGGTTATATATAACCAATAAAATAAACATCTTACATTTCTTGCAAATTCATTAGTACCTGTTAACCTCCATCACTCCGACACTGGCAACCTTATTTAGGGATTAGTAACCCTCACAACTATTGTATTCTATTCTGCTCCAACCTTTATACCTGGTGGTCATACTCAATTTAAAATTGTTTTCCTATATACTTCTGTAAACTTGTTGACAAATATCTGTTTTTCATTGAGTCACCCGTATCAACAGTTTAGGGATTTGCATACATAATTTATTGTTTTATTACTCTCTCATACATAAAAATACACTATAAAATATGTATTATGTATATTGAATTAAATGATGATAGTTACTTATATAAGTATTTTTTACAAAAATAAAATATTTTGATACGTACTTACTGCATTTGAATATATATGTTTTAGTTTTATAAAAATAGCAATTCATTTTTAAAAATTATCTGTTTTTACAGGAAACTTATCCTGCATCACCACCTGTGTGGTTTGCAGACTCCGAAGAAACTAGTATAGCAAATGCGGTTCAAATATTAAGCAACACAGAAGGCTTGGACAACCATGTCCTTTATCAGGTGATAATACTTCTTAGGGGAACTATGTCGACTGCATGGCGTTCCAGAACCACCCGACTTAGAAAGACTGCATATTCTAGATCCGCTAACAACAAATCGGTAAGTAAACCAAATCTATGTGTATAGATCTTTGTTGTGTACAAAACTTACATCTAACAATATTTTATATACAATGTTGGTAGCAATGGGTCTTGATGGGACAATGGGACATAGGAAAACAAGTCGTTTCTACAAAAATGCTTGGATTACTGTCTCTCGAAGCTCTAAGATTATAGCGAAGCTATACGGAAGCTCGTTTGTGTAGCGATCAGAATAGAGTAATGGTCTTTTTTCTCGTTTTCTGTCTAAACAGTTTTTCTGGTGTAATATTATGGCTCAATTTTAATATTATTTTTATATGGGATTAAGCCACAATTATTGGTTGTAATGAAAATAGGGTTTCACGCGGGACAGACTCTTGCCGCGTCCCGCACTTTATATGTTCCGTCCGCAGCCATTTTCTCTGGGACGTCCCGTTGTCCTGCAAAGCTAACTTAAATTATGTTTTCTAAATAATTAAATATATTTTTATAATAATGGTAAGACAAATTTAATATTTATATTTTTTGAGCAGATTTTGTTTTTACAAATTCTCTTAACAATTAACCTTTCGTGACAGGCGCTCGTTTTCTGTGTATCGATAGTAGCGGCGGACTATAAGTCCACATACGTTTTTTGCACGTAAAAAGCGTGATATATAGTACAACCCATCTGTTTTTATGAAGAAGCATTGTAAATTATTATTATATTTATTTTACTAAAAATGTGCCAAACAAAAATGTAAATATACAAAAAGAAATATTTGTATTTCGGATGTGAATATTAGTAAACTCTACAGTTGTGAAAAATCGCCTCCAAATATCAAGTGGTGTCTCCAAATTGTAACAACCTCTTTAACACCCGGCATACAAGTTATCAAGTTTGCCCTTTGGTGTGGAAGGGGAATGTTCTACCCACTTAATTTTTTCATCTTTTCCAACCAAGTGAGGTACTTGTGAGGGTCTACGTCCTCATCTTCAATTTCATTCTCAGAATCAGAATATATTTCTTGAGTCTATTATATATTCTTCGCTGTCTTCATCATTGCTACCTCTTCATTATGTTTTTATCTTCTGTTTCTAGCTTCGCTGAGACAGTCTAGCATTAGGCGCTGTCGTCGTTCTTGTCCTTTTTGATATGATGCCATCTAGAAGATAATTATATTAGTCAATAAAATAATTTTCAGAATACTTTTTTTACCCTTTTATAAATACAAAGAAAATACACCAAATTTTTCAATACGTTTATCTGTGCTACATGCGACATGATCAAGGAATACAAGGCTTTGCGGTTGGGTTGGGTGGGGAAAATTGAAATAAATTTTAAAAAACATTTCACTGCTGATTGTGAGTCCGCTCGTCATTTACAGAAGATTAAACATCAAATTTATATTATTAGACCAATTTAATAATTACTTCAGTTTCTACAAGTGGCACTTTTTTCTTGTACAATATATCGTGTAAAAATTTTCATTTATTTTGAGTTTGTTCTGTGGGACTCTTTCTGTGTTATCGAGCCCTAGGTGATTTGGTATGCTGGAGTATTTTCCAAAAATTTTTGTACACACCTGGACGTCGGCTTTCTACATTGCTTTACAGAGATGTTCATTTAGACCTAGCTTATATTCTCTAAGAGGTTTTTGTGAATAACACCAGTAGTAGATAGAATCATAGGTACTGTTTCAGTACTTTCCATTCCCCATTGTCTCCTGACTTGTAGTTCTAGATCTCTGTGCTTGGCGATATTTTCGTTGTATTTAACACGCAAATTATTAGTGTTAGGTAACGCCACATCAATAAGTGTTGTTTGCCTAGTAAGTTTATTAACTAGTATGAGATCCTGTCTATTATATGCCACTGCTTGGTCTGTAAGCATAGTGCGGTCCCAGTATAGCTTGTAGTTCTCATTTTCAAGCATTCTCTCAGGGACGTATTGATAATAAGGAAGATGCTCGGTTTGCAGAAGGCCCAGTTTGTCAGCTAGTTCTTGGTGGATAATCTTTCCTACTGAGTCATGGCGTTCTTTATAATCAATACCGACAAAAACCTGGCAGCCCCCGGTAAGATGTTGGATGATTTCTTGGACTTGACATCCATATCGGCATTTGTCATTTTGAACTTGAGGATCTTAACAATATATTTCAGGCAATTTTTAGTTGGAATAACCTGATTCTGAATGGCAAGTAGAAAACCGTGTCGGGAAACATCTTTCCTGATGTCAATCCGCCGAAAGATTTCGATGCTGTATTGTCGACATATTATTCTTGGCTGATCTCATTGAAATGTCGCCCATGCAGAGGTTTTCTCATTCAGGTGCGCATTTTTATTGCTTATTCAGGTGGTTTATGCGCATTTCATGTCCCCTTCGTCTAAACGGCGTTGTATCGTTTACTGCAAATTGCTCGATGTAAAGTAGATGTCTCAGCCTGCACCTGAAAACCTGGATTTTGTTTTTTACGTCTTTGTGAGTAGTGTTCCTCCTTTACTCTGAAGACTCTATCAGTTTCTTACCCCTCTATAATACCAAATGAGTAGCTCAGCGCGGAACAAACGTACTTATTTAATGCCTTAACAAAATTTTTACTATCAAGATATGACCGATTTAGTTTTCTTACTCTTCGTACGAACTGGGAAGTTAGTTCGATTTTCATTTATTTATGGTCAATTTTCTGCGCTTGCTTTACTCCTGAGATATTTGTATATATCATTTTCACCCGTCGCCCCGATGTTTTGGCCATCTTGCGTATCAAAATTTCCGGACTAAACCTTTTCTCTGACTATATTTAGTATAACGCACTTGTCTAGTCCAAAAATGTATACTCATATCATTTGAGAATGTTTCTAATTTTTAGCATCTGATCTAGGTGATTTCCAATGGAAGCTAATAATTTCAAATCATCCATGTACAACAGATGATTAAGCTTCGTATAAGCTTCCGCGGTGTATATGGTCACCGATATGGTATACAGAAAGTCCTCCCTATGGCAACTCAGCCGCCTCAATCAGTCTGACTTCAGACAGGACGTGTTCTATTTGAACACTGAACTTTCTATTGGCTATGTTTATGTAGGACGAAAAAATGCATGTTATTGGGCAGTAATATACAAGAAGAGTTTTGTCTTCCCTCAAGTGAAGCTTCAGGGAACGCTTCGATTTTTTATATAATCTAGACATTACAAAATGAAAGCAAGACATCACTTATTATACTCGTATATATATTTTTTAAATAGCTTATTCGTAAATAACAACATAGTCATATAAGATAAGTTTTATCGCGTTAATTTATTGTTAAAACTTCACGACTGTTTACAAATAAATAATATTCTAATCTACACCAATGAGTTATCAGCAAACTAATTTTAAAAAATAGGTTTTTACTTCAAAAACAATGTTCCTATGTTTGTTTATTTGTTTGTTTACTTTTTAGGCATTTGCCTTGGCTATTTATATAATAAATACAACAATTAGTTAAAAAGAGAAATCTTACATAACTGTCTACGTTTTTTACCCGTTTTACTTCTTTTCAAGCAACTAGAAATTGAGGAGTTTGTTGTAAGAAGGATGCAATTACATATTTAGACCGTTTTGGGTGGAAGCATATGCCATAATTAAAAAAAATTGACGGATTGACTGGTACAAGAACGATGCAGATCCGATAATAAATATATAGGAAAATTACGTATTTATGGATCTGCCTACTCACTCATTTGGTGCAAGGGTGCAGCTCCGGATCTGCATCCTTTTTGCACCAAACAATTGTGAATGTTCGTTGATTTTCGTGTAATGCAAAGGAATACAGAAGGGACCGAGATTGACTAGATCGGACTGCAACTACAGGTACAAGTGTTTTCAGAATGTGGACGAAAAAACAAGAAAAGTTGTCTTTTAAAAGTTTAACAAAATAGACGACAAAGATTTGCACAATATCTATTTGCGAGGGTTGATTCAAACTACTACTATTCAAAGAACTCGAAAAATAAGCAAGACTGCACTTATTCCCACAAATACTTTATAAAGCTGGGTTAGCTATCCAAACGAGTTTGTAGACATGCTTTTGGTTCAATCCACGGCATATCAAGGAAACGTCTACATCTCATTGCCCAAACTTTTCGTGACAAAGATATTGCAGCGCCATCTAGTAAAAAAGGAAAGCATATAAATAGACTAAACCGAAAATCTAACGAAACACTCAAAAATGTGAACATGCACATCCAGAGCTTTTCAAGGCGTGAAGTAGAAAATGTCCTGGCTACAAGAAAATGTCCTGGCTCCGAAACATAAGGCAATGGACAGGGATTAACGACATACAATCTCTGATACATATTGCAAGAAATAGAGAATTAATGGAAAATGTGATCGCTAACATCCATTAGTGGATTTGCATCTGAAGAAGAAGAAGAAGTAGAAACAAATCCCGTTGATTCTATTTATCTCCAGATCTAAATGTAAAGAAGATGCATCAACTCTATTTGGAACTTTACGAACTAGAAAGTGTTAGCAATCCTAAATATAAACCCAAAGTTCCCTATGACTTCTCCTATCGATACTTTAAAGAAAACTTCAACTACAGGTTCGATCTCGCTTCAACTCGATCAGATTTTATGGGAGTGTTCAGTACAGAAACATTGCTTTCCTGTGGGTGCCATTTCATATTGGAATCACGGGAAACGATCTGGCGGATAAATATGCACGAGAAGCCTTAGAGGACACAACTATTGAGTTCTTTCCAAAAACTCCAGCGACAGATCTCAAATCATATTTCCACAGCAAAATAATTAACATATGGAATAGCGGATGGCAAAAAACAGGCAAAATTACTTGAGATAAAACCAATATTTCAACCATGGTCTGATGTTCCTTCTTCTCTTCATGTACCATGTCCTTTCAGAACGTTGGTTACCATCATAGCTATTTTATTTTATTCACTGCCACCCTAAATAGCATGCTTGTATCTACACCATACCAGCTCGCAAGTTCTTCAACCATGAGGTCTTCTTCGTCCTGGACTACGTTCCACCTAGT